TTTCAACTGTGCTTCACTTAGTTTTGGTAATCCCGCATTTTTTAAGTATGTCATCTCTTTTTTTCATTAAATTCCTTCTTGGGCTTCTTTTAGGGGCCTTGGGGGCTAATATTGTATAACTTTTTTATAATACATACCCGTAAACTCTTTGATAATCTCTTTATTTGAGTGGACCAACTCCCCCTTTGAACTTTTATCTTTTCTATATAGTTCCTATTTTTCTTTTTATTCAAAGCTCTCATTAAATATCTTCCTGGTCTGTCTCCCCATCTATATCTTTCATTTAAAACCCTGTTGTATACTCTTCTCTTCTCCTCATCCATCAACCTCTCTAACTCGTCTTTTTTATCCGATAACCTCTGTCTCGTATCTTTTGTTATTTCTTCTTATGGATCTGCTCCAAGTCCAATATTTCTTTTAAGAGCCCACTGACCCTCTCTCTTCTTTCCTTTTTCTTCCTTGCTCCTACCGCAATCAAGATTCCTCTTATGAATACCTTATGGCTTTCCCAGACTGTAGCTATCGATACATCCTCTGTTTCGTTCTCCTTGAAGTATACCTTAATCTCTTTCTCGATTTTCTGGACTACATCCTCATCCAGAAGAAGACCCTCATTTAACCTCCACCCATTCCTCCCGTCCACCTTCTTCCCCATCCCATTTTCATTACAACCGGGGCATGGTCCGAGAACGTCCTTGTTTCTATATCGATTTTAATCAGATGATCTATAAGTTGATGGTCTATTAAGATGTAATCTAATCTCGAGTATATCTCATGTGCATTAGAGAAGAAGGTATAGTCTCTGTCCTTCATATGCCTTATTCTCCAAGTGTCCACCAGTTGTTCTTCATGCATCACTTTTTTCAGAGCTCTCAGAGACCTACTCCCTTCTCTTTGCACAGAAGAGGTATTATCCTTTTGTGGGTCCATACAAAAATTTAGGTCTCCCGCTACTATCAGGCGACCTGTTTTAAATTCTTTTAATTTTTTCAGCAGACCCTTCATGTACATCTCCGGATTTTTTATTAGGGGCAGTATATATTGGCTAAAGTACACTCAATCCCCTGGAGTCTACCTTTTAAGAATAAAAACCTCCTCTCTGGGTCAGTTCTTCTATCCTCCAACTCAAATCTCATATTCTTTGCAAAACCAATTGCTACCCTCCCTTTTGCTCTTTTAATTGGAGAATCTGCATAATACCATGTTGGATAGTGTTTGGATTTCAATTTCACGTTTACCTCTATCTCAAAATGCGTCTCCTGTAAAAATACCACTGAGGAGGCCCTATGATGTAGCTCATTAAACAACCTAAATCTCTTTCCTGGACAACTCAACCCATTCACATTATAAGTTATAAACTGTATTTCTTCCATCATTCCTAATTAACTCCATCTCTCTTCCAGATTGCCTCTTCCTCTTTATCCCTTCTGTCATGCAGAGTATTGACCCATTACTTCCTCCCCTCCCTCCCTCCCACCCAATTCTCTCCCCCTCCCTCCCCCCTCCCTCCCCACCCCCTCCCCCCCTGCCATCTCCTGCCCCCCCTCCCACCTCCCCTCCCCCCCCAGGCCTCCTATGCCTTTGGATCATCTTCGACTTTTGATCCCTCTATAGGGGTTCGACTCTACCCATGACCGCTTACCCCCCCCCCCCGTCCCCACCCCTCCTCCCCAATATCCCCCTATCTATTGATTCTTTATTTCCTCTTTTAACCATCTGCCACTTTCCTGTCCCACCGATATCCAACTCTCCCTCCTCCCCTTCCCAACCAAATATCACTTGTCTCTGCAATCCAAATTTTTCACAAAATTCTTCCATATCCTCCGAGAATCTTAGGACAGCTGTAGTTCCATCCCTCCACCCAATTAAACTTAAGTCACGTCCCCATCTGTATTTCACTCCTTGTTTTTTCATCACTTCCAATAGGGGTTTCAATGCTCTCTTCCTTCTCAGAGTTTCTGCCGTCAAATCTGCAAAAATTTGGATATTTTTCCCACCGTATGTGATATTTGATCGTCCTTTTATCTTTTTTCCAAATCTCTTCTCTATCTCCATAGTTGTGGAATTTAACAATTATGTCTCTTGGTTTTTCTACCCCATTTCCTTGTTGATTCTTCCCAATCCTATATACTTCATCCAACTTGAACCTCACCTCATCTGATTTATCCATTATGGAGTTCAAGATTTTACCAGATAGCTCTTTTAGATCTTCCCCATGTGTCAATTCTGGTACTCCTCTTACTCTGATATTATTTCTCCTTTCTCTATTTTCTTGTTCTTCCATCCTATAAAGCAATCTCTTTATGTTCTTTTCTATCTTCAATTATCCATTTCTCTAGTTTTGGGATGGTCTGAGCTTGGGCTTGTACCTTCTCCTCCATTTCCTCCACCCTAGTTAACAATTGGCCCAGATCTTCCCGAATCATCCCCATCTCTTGCTTTATTGATTTTTCCAATCCTTTAAACATCTCTGCCATTTCTTTTTTATTAGGTAATTGCATATCTCTTTCCAAATCTCTTGATTCCATACCTTCCATTTGACTATTGTAAACTGGGCCCAGGGAGAGTCTTGGGCTGTTATCCAGACTTATTTCTGATTCACTTTTTTTCACTTATTCCCTGAGTTCTTTCTGGGGTAACATTTCCTTGTGACACATACTTCTTAATCGTACCCGTTTGGGTGTTCTTAGGCCCGCTCCCTTTGGTATTTTTTACCTTTCATGCTGTAGTTTGAAAAAAATTTTTATCTCTTATTTTCTGGATCTCCTGGTCTTTTACTCCTCCAATCTTCAGACCTATCCTAGGAATCCCCTATTTCTTTTATTTTCTGGTTGAGTATTTTTAGCCACAGTCCTTTTTCCAGGCACCTCGCAATCTAGTGCAGGAACTCAGAGTATATAAAAGTCTAACATACGAAACCAATGTATATGCAGTGTATAAGAGGACCCGCAGGAGGGACCCACAGTCCTCACTCACCCACCGCGCTGGAACTTCACCTCAGAAGCATTCCTCTGTGTTTAAGTCCGCTTGTCTCCTCTTGAAGGGATTCCTAGGGGTCTCTCGTAGTTCGTATAACTTATCCTCCTGTTAGAGGCCCCCTTCGATTAGAGTCAATATGCAAATTAATAGTTAGAGAAAGGAGTAGAGTGGGGGGTAAAATGTTTAGCCGTAAAAAATGAGCATAATAGTATATACTTGTGGTGCTGTAAGCTTAGAAATGATATGGGTATGGTATGGGGATGATGTATAGTTGGGGTGGAGTTAGGTTAGGTGTAGGAGGCGAGGAGATGAAATATTTATATATATATATGTTGTATCTGTTGTAGGGACAGTATGTCCTTTACCCTCCGCCACTTCACCCACTTGCTGAGATGCCGGACAATCTCTCTCTTTCTCGGAGCTCCCAGAGCTCCTCCACTGCTTCTCACGTGTCTGAGTCAGTCAGTGTCAGCGTCTCTCGAATGTCCCAGCTGACTCACTGACGTCTCCCTGGCAACCCTGCTCCTCCTCCGAAACCACTGCCGCAGAGAGCCAGAGACCCGCTGAAGCCACGAGGCAGCTCTCTCCCGGCTCTACCCAAGCTCCAGGTCAGCCGGTCGTCTCCCAGGCAACCCCTCTCCTCCTCAACAGTCGCCGCGGAAGGGGAGAATCCGATGTGTCTCTCCCCCAGCACCCTCCCGACACTCCGCCGGCTCCGACCGTCCCCGGGAGCTCTGACGATTCTTTCAGGCAGGTGAGTCCCTGCATTCAGTGCAGCTGGACCCTCTAACGAGGGTTCATAGGGAGATAAACGGGGGGGAGGAGGGAAGGCTCACGGAGAGTGCTAGCCTACACTCTCTCCCGTGCCGCCATGTTCAGGCTCCGCCCCCCAAAACTTCCCTATCAATCAATTGATCATGGTAAGCTTTTGTAATTATGGACTTGAACCAGTGACTCATCTCATCAACTAGGGTGGATGTTACCTGTTGGTGCCATTCATGATTAGATAGTATATCCTGGCACATAACAATGTATTGATCCCTATCCATAATCAACGTTAATCGTTAAGGTTATCCATAAACAACGTTACCTCCCTTATCGGAGGGCTTCAATACAATTTGTGTGTTCTTCAATGAGTATATATATTGAGAAAGTGATCTAATCTTGGTGACAATTGCTCAGTGTACCTCAGAGTGTGTTTCAGAAAAGCCCAAATTGAACAGTTAATTCTCAATTGTGGAAATTGTTTTTGATTTTGCTTTATATCTGAGTGGAGTAGCCTCAGCAAATTTGTTTTCCTCATCAGAGGATAAACTATCACTCTCTATAAATTCCGGTCATGACCGCTTTCATCTTCTAACTGGATAAGTGTCGTAAGTATTCAAAAATCCTGCACTGTAGATTCTTTCCAAACCTCCTCATTTTTATTTACACTACGGAGTTTCTTATCCCTTGCATATAAATACTTAAATGTCAAATTGTGAGCAAACAGATGTAAATCTTTAACAACTTCAAGTCTGGACACTTTTACCCCCTTCCTGTCCAGTCCAATTTTCAGTGCTATCACACTTTAAATGACAATTGTGCGGTCATGCAACACTGTACCCATATGAATTTTTTAGCATTTTTTTGAGACAGATAAAGCTTTATTTTGGTGGTATTTATTCTCCACTGGGATTTTTTTTTTGCTATATAAATGAAAAAGTCCAAAAATTTTGAAAAAAAGTGTTTTTCTTAAAAAAAAGTTTGAAAAAAAATAATATTTCATTGCAAATCTTGGCCAAAATTTATTCCATTATCTTTCTTGTAAAAAAAAAAATTAATTAATTTATAAAAAAAAACTTTTCATTTTATTTTACATTTTTTTATTTTAGTTTTTTATATTATTATTTTTTTTTTTAGTTTTTTTTTTACATACTGTCACCCTAGCAGTACAGTATGATGATTTTTTTTTTTTTACACTGATTGCTTTTACACCCATAACGGCTGTAAAAGCAATCATTTCTCCTTCTTTCTAATACTGTGTGAGCTGTGATTGGTCACAGCTTGTCACATGGTAAAAGGCTGTTGTGAATAGCCTTGTACCATGTGACCTCTGATATCATTCACAGATTTCAAACATAGTAAGCAATGATGTCAGAAGTGACATCTTGCTTACTACTCTGCATGTGATCACTGATTGGCCAATCAGTGATCACATGATCGGGACCTCGCACAGAGGTCCTGTACGACGATCGGTGTTCCACTGTGTCCGGAGGACACAGCGGGCACCGGATCGCGGTGCTGCGTGCTCCCAGGGAGCATGCACAAGCAGGGGGCAGGGAGGCCGTTTATAAATGGCCACCTGCCCCTGCACTGCCACCGTCCGGCCGATTATATACGACAGGCGGTGGTTAAACTCAAACTTATCCAGTTCACTGCTAGGACAAAGACTTAACCATAGCTTAAGGAAATATATTTCATTTTCCATGAGAGTGTGTGAAGATAGATTAATAATATCCAATTGTGCATCATTTATGTTTTTTTTGATCATATATTTGTCTAGGGTGACCATCTTCTTCTCTATCATAGGTGTTAGTGCTTAAAAAGGTTGTGAAGCTGGTGTTGAAGTAGGAGGGGAGGAGGGACTGGTACCCATACCCCTGTACTTGGGGACAGCACCAAGGTCCTGTCGGCCAGAAGGTGCGATACCGGTGGCATCCTCACAATTGCCATTAGTGTGTGAAACCCATTACCTGAACAACTTGTGCTTGTACAAAAGAGTGTGAGGATTTCCTCTCCTTCATAATTTGAAGGCACTTTATGTGCCACATATCGTTTCTTACTGTTATTTTCATGTGCTTCATATCCACCACCATTAGTACATTTACGTGCAGATCCACAATCATGTCTCCATCTATTATTGGTTAAAGTAGATCTCTGAGAGGAGAAAGAAGAGACAGATAAATCATACTCTGATTGAGGTTGATAGTTTGTAGTTAATTGAAAGATATCATGCCTAGTAAAATCTCTAGTACTATTGCCATGTCTTTTTTGGTTCCCACGCCATTTATAGGTGTAGCCTCACGAAAAGTCTAATTTTTCCTTCACAGGGTGTCTCACCCACTGGGGCCATATAGGGGAGAGGTGGTGATGGGCCAGGACATGATCACTGGACTGCTGCGTTGTTTGGTAACTGACCTTGTTATTGGCTACAGGCATTGGGCTTAATTATTTGCATTGTTACCATCCGAGTTATCATCTTTACCAGCCATTTTCTGGTCTGGAACTCAGTGGTAAATATTAGTTTTGAGGTAGCTCCTCTCCTGTTTCTTTGAGGGAGGAATGATGCCATTACCCTTCATTTAATATATGCTTTTAGGAAGTTGACTTCAGTAATGAGCTGAATCTTTTGTTTGAAGGAATAAGTCTATCTATATTATCTCTGCCTCTTATCAAAAGCATTTGAGTACATGTTACATATGTTGTATATGGATACTAGTGAATATAATGGTCCTTGGCTTACTTGGTTTATTTCAATACATATAGCCTCTCTTTTTTTCGCATTACAGCTAGTTATTGATGATTGGTGGTGGTCCTCGTCCCCTCTTCTCCCCTGTGTGGCCCAGTGTTTGGCCTGGTTTTTCCTCTCTCGCTCCTTTTGGGGTGGAGGTGGATCAATGGGCATATGATGTGATGTTTGCTCCTGGGGCAGCAGACATCGGTGTATACTGTCTTTTTAAATCAAAAGCAATCCCGTTATTCTAAGTGAACACTGTGGTAAGAGTTTTAACAAAATATCTGTGAAATCTGTGCTAATAAGTGTAATATTTGTGTGTGCGTATATATATATATATATATATATATATATACACAGTGGGGCAAAAAAATAAATAGTCAGCTACCAATTGTGCAAGTTCTCCCGCTTAAAAAGATGAGAGAGGCCTGTAATTGGCATCATAGGTAGACCTCAACTATGAGAGACAAAATGAGAAAAAAAATCCAGACAATCACATTGGCTGATTTGGAAAGAATGTATTTGCAAATTACGGTGGAAAATAAGTATTTGGTCAATATCAAAAGTTCATCTCAATGCTTTGTTATATATCCTTTGTTGGCAATGACAGAGGTCAAACGTTTCCTGTAAGTCTTCACAAGGTTGGCACACACTGTTGCTGGTATGTTGGCCCATTCCTCCATGCAGATCTCCTCTAGAGCAGTGTTGTTTTGGGGCTGTCGCTGGGCAACACGGATTTTCAACTCCCTCCAAAGGTTTTCTATGGGGTTGAGATCTGGAGACTGGCTAGGCCACTCCAGGACCTTGAAATGCTTCTATGAAGCCACTCGGCGGTTGCCCGGCTGGTATGTTTGGGATCATTGTCATGTTGGAAGACCCAGCCACGTTTCATCTTCAATGCCCTTGCTGATAGAAGGAGGTTTGCACTCAAAATCTCACGATACATGGCCCCATTCATTCTGTCCTGTACATGGATCAGTCTTCCTGGTCCCTTTGTGGAGAAACAGCCCCAAAGCATGATGTTGCCACCCCCATGCTTCACAGTAGGTATGGTGTTCTTTGGATGCAACTGAGCATTCTCTCTCCTCCAAACATGACGAGTTATGTTTCTACCAAACAGTTCTATTTTGGTTTCATCTGACCATATGACATTCTCCCAATCCTCTTCTGGATCATCCAAATGCTCTCTAGCAAACTTCAGACGGGCCTGGACATGTACTGGCTTAAGCAGGGGGACACGTCTGGCAATGCAGGATCTGGCGGCGGCGTAATGTGTTACTGATGGTAGCCTTTGTTACGTTAGTCCCAGCTCTCTGCAGGTCATTCACTAGGTCCCCCCGTGTGGTCCTGGGATTTTTGCTCACCGTTCTTGTGATCATTTTGACCCCACGGGGTGAGATCTTGCATGGAGCCCCAGATCGAGGGAGATTATCAGTGGTCTTGTATGTCTTCCATTTTCTAATTATTGCTCCCACAGTTGATTTATTCACACCAAGCTGCTTGCCTATTGCAGATTCAGTCTTCCCAGCCTGGTGCAGGTCTACAATTTTGTTTCTGGTGTCCTTCGACAGCTCTTTGGTCTTCACCATAGTGGAGTTTGGAGTGTGACTGTTTGAGGTTGTGGACAGGTGTCTTTTATACTGATAACAAGTTCAAACAGGTGCCATTGATACAGATAATGAGTGCAGGACAGAGGGGCCTCTTAAAGAAGAAGGTACAGGTCTGTGAGAGCCAGAAATCTTGCTTGTTTGTAGGTGACCAAATACTTATTTTCCAACATAATTCTTTCTAAATCAGCCAATGTGATTGTCTAGATTTTTTCTTCTCATTTTGTCTCTCATAGTTGAGGTCTACCTATGATGCCAATTACAGGCCTCTCTCATCTTTTTAAGTGGGAGAACTTGCACAATTGGTGGCTGATTAAATACTTTTTTGCCCCACTGTATATACTGTATATATATATATATATATATATATATATATATATATTTTTGGCAGTGTGGTATCCTCCCAGGGTCTAAATCAAGCTTATAACCCAGGATTCTCAACTAAACAGGTTGAGGGGCTCCAGGCGATTTGCTTAATTCAGAGGCAACTGGTTTGTCAGCTTCTTAATTGTTTCGTAAAGCCCGTTTTGGGACCAGGGGCCTGGAGATTTCAAAGTGATTTGGGAGGGATGAAATCACCAATCCTGGGTCCATGTTTTGTGAACAGTCAGCACACTGATTACACAGGTGTGTGCAGGCCTTTTTGTAGAGGTCTAACCATGGTTCTGGGCTCCACCCCGGCAGATAGGAGGTTGTTGCCCAGTAGTCGGGGGAGCTCCACCGAGGAGAACTGGGAGGCAGTGCAGCAAGGGGCTAATAGCTGAGTGCACAGAGCCGTTTAGAAAAGAGTCTGCAGGAGACAGACGTGGCCTGAAGTGGAAGGCCAGAAGTAGCAGGATTATATGTATAAGCCAGGACGTTAAAAGTCTGTGTTTGGAAGAGAGAAATGCTGAAAAAACTCCTGTGAGGAAAATCTATGTGTTGGTTTTATGTAACTTTCTTTTAAATAAAACTAGGCAAAAACGGCCCTTAAAAAGAAGAAAGCAAGTGGCGGTGTACTTTAAAGCTCTACCCTTGATGCTAGTTCTTGTGAATAGGTAGGTGCTAAATCAATGAAGCATGTGACAAATAACACAGGTCTGCGACTAAAAAGCTGTTTAATTATTTTCATCTAATTTCCATGTGTGCTGAAACCAAATAAAATATTGAAAAAACTCCTAGACGTCATGATTTGCCACAAAATGCAAAATTGTCTTCAAATTTATCAAATTTTTTTCATTTTTGGTATTTTTTTTATGATGGGTTTTTTAACCAAATTTAAAGTCCAAATTACTATTAATTAATTCACATAAGTGCATTTAAGATATAAAATGCCAAAAAAACCTTAAAGGGGTTGTCTGAGTTATGTAAAAAAAATATAGCACTGTAAATCTGATGATCAGCAATATATACATAAGCTAAGCAAGTTTTAGGGAAAAAAAATTCTATTTCCTCATCTCCCTAGTTCTCTTCTGGCCCTTTGTTGTTATTTGCAGGTAACATATCTCTGCCCCTGCCCTCCCCCCCTGCAAAGGGGGTGAATACAAGTGCTGCTCTGAGTGACATGTCTGACTACTGGGATACTCAGCATGCTGTATGTGTAAGCCTCAGCCCTGAGTCTGTGCTTCTAATGGTAGAAGGGGTTAATCTTTCCTGAAGAATCCAGTGGGAGGGAGACACAGGGCAGATAGCAGCAGCTCCGGTCAGTGCAGGGGGGCGTGGCCAGCACTGTGACATCTCGTGTACAGACACAGAGCTGCGCTCTCCTGCAGTCCACACTTGTGCACGAATCATCATCAGGTTTTTGGTTCTAGGCTGTTCACACTTTTTCATCGCAGCTCGTGTTAGCTCATCATTCTTCAACCGTTATGTTATGGCTCCGCAAAAGTGTATTAATTCGCAAGACAGTTTCTGTTTCATCTGTGGTGAATATACAGTGTTGAAGCAACAGCAGAATATTACAGACTTTGTGAAAAAAGTATACTTTGTAATACTTTGGACTAAAAATTGGAGATCAAGATAAAGTTTGGGCGCCTCATAAAGTGTGCAAACGGTGTTTTGAGGACCTCCGAAACTGGTTCAAGGGTAAGAAAAAATCTTTCCGTTATGGGAACCATAGTGACGACTGTTACTTTTGTTCATGCGATGTGAAAGGGTTTAA